ATGTAGTGCACACAATCTGGATGATAATTTGGGACTACATTTTTTATGAAATGTCTCAAATATGAAATTAAACACTTGTGTTGGTCTGACCCTATTTGTAGTAGAGCAAATATGCATGGGAATATCATTCACACTCCTCCCCCCTCATATTTTTAAGCTGAACCTGACATACTTGGTACTTGTTCACTTTCTTTCATGCTTATTTTCATCGCTATATGAGCTATTTGGTAAGTGTATCACCAGTGAATAGAAAATACGTATCTGCATTTTGCTTTTTGTTATGTATGAATGAGCACAGCAACACCCACCCTGGTCTAATTGCCCAGGCCAATGCTATTTATTCTGGTGGTTTGTAGCATCTCAGAATGTGGTCCAGCAGAAACACTGTGAAATGTTGGTAGAAGATGAACCACACACAAATCTACCTCCCTAGGTACATGGTAAGTACATGCTACTGTTGCTCTTGGAACTTATGGACAGTCAGTACTTTTGCAGGAAGGGATAGGGCTGTGCTAATATTCTTCCTGTTCAGTATTTGAAATTAAAATGTCCTTAATAGGATCAGTTCTATATGATATTAAAGTTATGTTTGTACTTAAATGCAAAATGTTCTATTTAGGAAGCCACACTTATCCACCAGCCAGTAAAGGAAATTCTATAGAAAGAAAAAGGGGGGAAAAATGTACCTCTTTTCTCATTTCTAATAATAACCATGACTAGTAACTTCACAGGAACTGTAAAAAGAACAAGACACATGATAGTCAGGTGTATCTGTTACAGAGTTATATATGTTACACCTATACATCCAGAAATTAGGGCTAGGAATTTTTCTGCCCTAATACAGATGGTACATCTGCAGAGGTCTACATCTGACCTAGCTATCCAATGCTCCCTTGGCTGTCGATGGGTAGAAACAGACACTTCTGAGGCACAATCCAGCTTATGCAAAAGCAGAAGTCTTCAGTCAGTCAGATGAACCACAGTACTGAAGTGCATGTTACTCTCTTTTCTGGGGAAGGGCAAAAGCAGATTGATTTACTAGCTTAGTTGTAGACATTTGCAGTTAGATCAGGCAAATTACATCATAGATTTTTGGGAGAATGGTAACATTGACTAGCCTTTTCCAAGATAATAGCTGAACTCCAGTCCCTGTGGCATTCAAGGATTCTTTTTACTGTGGATTTAAATGGGACAAGATTGATATGTCTTGCTGCATTTATTCAGTGTCCTTTAGGAAAAGAAAGATGTAATTTGAGTGTTCAATAAATCAGTATTGTCTGCACATATTTAAAATAAATGAGTTGGGTTCCTTTTCCAAAGACATCTGTCTAGTGCCATTTTAGACAACATACATGGTCTCCGGTGGCCTCTTTAGAAGGTGACGGCTCTTCCAAATCTCTAATGTCACGGCCTGCTGGCCATGTGCACGTTCCTCTGATGGCACTGAGAGCTGTATTTAGTCAATTGCATCTCAACAAATACAAAAAAAGGCCTGGAAGCAATGCTAAAGATACACAATGTTTGTAGGAGTGTCTTCTTTCCCCTGGGGCAATGAGTCCACAGCTGATGGTGCACTGCAGCATCTGTCTCCAAAGTAAGTCACTGAGTCAAAATGGCCAAGTGTAGAGAAACATGGTAATAAACTGAGATACTGTGTTATTTACAGACAGGAGGAGATCATGATTCAGGCAGCTTATCCTCCGCTCACGTTGATCAACTGTTCCTAGCACTTATGAAAATATTCTGTAGCCAGTTTTATGCTGTGATGAGATGTTGAATGGCTTAAAATACATTCTGATCTGCCAGAAACAAATGTTCAGGATGGCCCCACCACAAAACTTCACTCCGAGTTTACACATGCTACATACGTTGCAGAAGAACTACTTTAGAAATGGTTTGCTAAATGTGGCAAATGCAAGCGCTGTAGATTTTAAATGGAAATGCTCAGTAACATCTGTTGCTGATAGGTTTAGTGAATGTTCTTGAAGGTGGATAACTGAAAATGATACAGTCTGATGCAAAGAAGCCAAGAAATATACACTTCTATTCTCCTTCCAACCATCGCATAGTCTTTATTAAGCAGAATATTAAATTAAATCTGAACAGCATTTATCTCCTAGAATTCAATTTTTCTGAGCATACGTCAGATAAGTCCATTCCATCTTCTGTCTGACTTTTAACTGCTTGCTAATACAGTATCTCTTGTGAACTACATATGGTAGGAAAAAGATGATGGGATACTTGTCTGGATTCAGTGTAAGGCATCCAAAATAAAACTGAGGAAAAAGACCTTAATTCAGCAAAGTGCTTCAGCTTTAAGCATGCAAATAGCCAATGAATCACATGCTTAAAGTAAGATTCATATATGTGCTTCTTGCTAAATTAGGCATAAATTATATCTACACATCAAACAACAACAAAAGCCCAGTAAAAAGGCAAAACAAAAAAAACACAAAGAAAAGATAACCATGAAAGCTTTGGTTCAGAAGCAATGCTCTCAGATATAATACAGTCCACATAAGGTCTGTTTTGTTTTACTCAGTCACTTTATTATTTATTGCTCAGTATCAAAAGGAATAAAACTGACACTGATTAAAGGCCATTGTGAGTTGTAGGTAATACTCATATAATTCTTTGTATATGTGATGCACATTGTAGGGATAAATTGAAATCATAGAAGACTAAAATAGGAGGGAATCACAGTATGATGCAATCATGTAAACAACAGCACATATGTGGAGATTAATACAGATGTCCTTTTTCCACTTGACAGGCCTGATCAAAAGTAGCAAATATTTTAATTCTAACAAACACTTGAGTTTTTCATTTGAATGGGTGAATAAAAAAAAAAAAATCTTATAAAGTGGAGTGGATTAATATGCCTCTACTGCTCTTCCTCTTGATCTTTAAGGCTTATCAGAATCCTCTGTTGTCCCACTGAGTTTATTGGTTACGTAGGAAAATGAGCTGAGCAGATATTCATCGTTGAACTGAAAAAAACCCCCATTTATAAATTGCTGATATTCCCACAGCAGATATGAAATCAGATACTTCTGATCAGACAGGAGGACATTAATAGTTGGTATAGACCACTTATGTTATGAAGGACCCTGTTTCAGCAGTTGACACCCCTGCAACTTCCTCCTCTGCAATTAAATGATACGTAAAAGAGCTGCAAAATGTGTCTCTCAGAGGTTGAAGCCTGAGCTGCTCTGTGAACTTCTGGTCATGTGTAGAGTTGCACTGGATTTCATAAGGCTTTGAGTCAGGTCAGCTATTCAAATAGGACAACCCAACTATTGAGACCTGGGCAGTGCAACGCAGACTCAAACTGCCTCAGTATATGAAAGCAGATCTGGTAGCTTGTTTTTTAGAAATAGTGTCACCTTTGCAAAGGCCTATACTAGCCTGGCAGCATGTGAATTTCTTCTTGCAGTATCAGGATTTAGGACATCAATTTGGGGTTAATCGCAGTAAAGACTGGCATTCAGTCTCAAGCTGGTCAAATAAGGCATGAATTCAGCAGGGAGCTTTGGGATAGGACTTAATCTCTACGTCATAATACGTGGTAAGCTGTCTAAGTGTATTTGGTGCAATTACATCCAATTAAATACTTGGAAATTAGGTTCCCTGTCTTTAAACATCATAAGGCCCCTGCTCTACAACAGGATTGGCACTGGCTGACTGGTATAATTTAGTCAAGATCCACAGGTCCCACAGACTGTGCTCCAGGTACCAAAAAGTTCATATGCCCAAAACATGATTGAAGATGGAGGCTTACATGGACAAAACAGAGCTATTTGCACAGTCTCACTAGGATGGAGAAGGTTTACAGGATGCTCATGGTGGGTTATGTCAAGGAGGAATTCATGTCAATGTATTTACTGCTGAATCTGCAAAACTTCTATTTTGTAAATGAAGAAGACGCCTTTGGTGTGTGAACACAATGCTAAGACACTCAGAGCCTTTCTGTCACAAGTTCTGGATTTTGATAATCACAGACTTCACTTCTGTGTGCAGTCTGTTCTTTCCTAGCATTTTCAGTCTTCCGGGGGTTAGTTAACTGTTTTATTTTTTTATAAATAGGATTAATATATAAAATCTTTTAAGTGCAATAAACACAGGAAAATATAAAACGTTTCCAGCCTGTGGCTCTCTCCCAGCATTTCGTCCATTTTCTGTATCACCAGAGAAAGGTGTAGGAAATACAGAGGGACACTTCCAAACAGGCTTGTGAATCAGAGGACCGGCTATTTTTGTGAGCTATAAGAGCAGCCATCACACCCAACATATGCTGAGATCTTTTGTTCATATATAGAGAAAACAAAGGACAGACAAATTCGCTACTCTTTCATATGGGAAGATTGCACAGAAAGAGAAAGCTGCCAACTTCCAGGGCACAGTGCATTTCTTGAACTGATGTTCACGTAGTGTCTCCAGACTGCTTTGTTATGAGACTAAACACCAGGATTAAACGCTTAAACTGATCGGTTGATACTGGGGACAAAACTGTAGAACCACAGCCACACTTTACTACAAGCATTGGACTGTAGTATGAGGACAGTTTGAATGGTATTCTCCCCCCCCCCCAAATACACACTTCAAGCAAGAAAGCAGTCCAACAGTTTTCTAAGACACAAGAACAGGACGCGAGTTTAGACCTTCAGAACAAGCTGTCTGTCTCCATCAGGGTTGTAACAGCCATCTTGCACCAGAAATCAGCCCAGACTTTTTTTTTTCCTTACCTTATTCCTGTTAGTAACCAAGGACCTCTCATTTCCCTAGCAGTTTCTGACTATATTTTCTTTCAAACATTCCACTTTTCTTATTTCTTAGTGTTGCTGTGGCAGTCTAAATGTCTTTTTCTTCTTGTAGTTGCAGTTTTCTCACTATTTCCCTGAACATCTGCAAGACAGCCCATCTGGGTTGACACAGTGTGAGATGAGGCAGACAGGCATTGCCAACAAAGGGCTCCTACTGCAGCAAGTGGGCTGTTGGAATCAGATGTTTTCTAAGACGTCTATGGGGACAAAGCCTTTCTTCTTCCCGCTGTATACTTTGATAAAGCCATCGTGTTCCTTTTCAGAAGTCACACAAATCTGAATGCAAAGAAGGTATGAAAATAATAAACTCTTTGCCATGATCAAAGCGACAAATTATTCCAGGCTATTTATCAGGTGAGTTAGGCATCCCACTAGTTACTTCTATAACTAGAACAATCCCTTTTAGACTCTGACTGCTTTGATAAGAAACTCAGAGCCATATATTCAGAGAGCTATCTTTCCCCTGCCTCCCTGAAGTGCCACATATACATGAGCGACATTAAAATCATTAAGAACTTTGTGGTGGATCAAAGATTTTGAAACTTGAATTATGAATTCAGCCTACTGTAATGATTGTGATTTAGTTGTCTGTGTATGAGAGGAATGGGTATTTCAGATCATGAGCTAGCTAGCTCCCTCAATGGCTGGTGGTGAAAAGGAACCATGATGCCAAGGTGGGTCACTTGTAGCAGCTGATCTGAGTGCAAGCATATTCTCTTTTGCATGTTGAAGGAGCCAACGTACTTCTCAGATGAGCAGTGGGTTATGTTATTTACTCAGCCCTTGCAGCTACAGATGCCTGTTTTGGATACCAAAGTATGTGATCCGAATCCAGCTCTGCAAGCGTGTTTGCATAACATCTACTCCAAATGGAGACAGTTGTGGTGAAACCATATGGTCTTTACAATAGCACAAATATTACATTGTGGTAAAGGTTTGCATTTCATGAAGACCTTTGTGATCTCACGTATTTCCACTTTAGGGGCCTTCCTGAGACACTTCTGGTAATGGCTGAGCCATTTGAAAGCCTAGTGGCACAAGTACTTCAGACTGGGCACTTGAGCACAGAGCCACCCAAAATAAAGAATTGTTTTCAAACATCTGTGGCAAAGAACAATATAGTTCCTACTAATCAAACATGGTTAAAAAATAGCCAGAAAACTGATGGTCCTGTTGAGACCAACTCAGTGATTTCTTATGATGTCAGTGCCAGGTCTTTAAAGCCCTCTGTCTGGACTAACACTCACAAAGGCTCTGTCTGATAGGTATTTACAGCATTTAATTACAATAATTCAGAAGGCATGAAATGAACAAAAATGTCTCTAAAGTGTTGCTGGCTAAATCCATTTCAGTATGACTGTTACGGATTGTATGGTGACACCTAAATACCACGTCTGAATTCTGGGCCAGCTTGTCCTCCTGTTGTTACATACATAAAATTACTAGCAACACTGATGCTCCCAGGGAGAAATGAAAGGTCAGAAGAAGGAGGTGAAGCTGCTTCATATTTGCCACCTCCAGTATTTGGAAATGGTCAGGTGCATCTCTGTACCTGTAAACAAAGGTTTGGAAAGCAAATCGACTCATTAATTTTCTTACTTAAGCTACCTTCTTAACACTAACTGAATTGGATCCCTGGGGCAGAATGACTGAGCACACCAACAGAGGTGACATACAATTAAAAAAAAAAGTATTGTTGTTTGGGCTAAACCACATGGAAAGCATGGGAGAGTTATGGAATTGATGCCATTTAGCTTAGGTTCTGTTGCAAAACAGCCAAGCTCATTTGTATCTTGAATCCCTAGCAGAGCAGCTGCTCCCTCTGCAGTCACATTACCATTCGAAGCAGAGAGGTGTAAAGCACATGTACACAGAAATGTGTTTCTGACTACTGCTAAGTGTTGGTCTGTGGCTCTGAGAAAGACTATGGAAACTTCAATGATGAGGGCAAAAGCCTGCAGAGAAGCATGAGACTAAGGATGGCCAAGCATGGCAGAGTATCCAAGAGTGGGAAAGAGCATCTTGGCTGAGAGATGCCCCTTCTTGGTTGATCCCTGCTGTTGTGTGGGAAAATGAGCCTCTGCAGCTTCTCCATAACTACACCTGGCTGGTTAAAAGGAACGCCTGATTCCATCACTGTGCTTTCCTCCTAACTAGCGATGTCTGCAACACCTCTAGCTTTTTGCATGGGCCAAAGAGTCCCCAAAATAGTCAGATCTCCAGAAGTGACCTCCAGCAGGTCTGCATTGCTCACTAGCCATGCTGCATTTCTTGCTTAACCTCTGGTGCTGTGCAGAACATATTGCAAGAACAGAGTTGCTTTTCCCTGATGTCTTGTACTGTCAGCAGAATGATTTGTGGACAAAAGAAAAATACTGAGCTTTCTGAACACTGATTTTCTTTATCTTTGGAGTGAAAAAGGATGGCAGATTTGGTCATTTTTTAGAGGTTTTTTTTGTTTTTTTTGGCAGCTACTCAGGCTGGCATGTTCTGGGGGGAAGGCTGCTGGCCTGACAAGGTAAGTGAGCCACTGAGCAGCCACTCCCCAGTGAATTTGGTAGCAACACAAATGGAAACAAACACTTAGTTTATTTTTTTACCTGCACCCTGGCTCAAGAGGTTAGTAGTGGAGTAAGCCACAGGATAAGAAACCACATCTCAGGCTATTTCTCAGTCATCAAGTGATGTCAGAACTAGCTGAAAGCAGGATCTAATATTATAAAGTCACTCCCCCATTCTTTCATCTCATTTTGTTTAAAAAAAACCCAAACCACTAGAAACAAAACAAACAACTGTTAGGCTGTTGTCCGAACTTGTCAACATCTGCCCTGAGGATTTTTTTGTCCATCAGTTAGCCCTGAGCAGATGGGGGAGATGAGCAATTAGGAAATGATCCTTTAAGCTGCACAGTCATTAATACTCTCCTGTTCTTCTAAGTCCTGTGCTTTGAATCTGGGCTCAAGTGGCAAATTCTCTTTGTCCGGGAGTAATTTTGGACTTGCTATAATTTTCTGCAGCTGTCTTTTGCTTATCTTTTCTCTCCCATATATTTAACCCATCTGTCAGCCACAGACTGTCTCTGATGAAAGTAGGAATTTGGTTATGAGGACAGGACAGTTTAAAGAGCTGTCCTGGAGCCCGCAGACAGTGCCAGGTCAAGAGGTCTGAAAGCTCAAGTCTTCTGTTTGTCTGTAAGAATGACAGCACAGGGACACTGTGAGTTTCCACATCTGCTGCTGCCTGTGCACTGGAGTTCTTGCCTATGTGAGCTTTGTAGATGGAAATGGTAAGTAGTTCAGTTTTCACACCCATTCAGCCATCATGCAAATGATGATGACACATTTTATATCAGCTGTTTCATTAGCTTTTGGACTAAGAACACCAGCTTGTTTCACCTATGGCATTCTTCAGGGTTTTAAAGATGACCTGGACTAAACTGGATGCATAATGGGCTGTGCCCATGTTTTAGACTCTTGCAAGATTGTGTGCCATTCAGTATCTCTGAATGAATGTGGACACCCATCCCTGTTCAGCAAGACTGACATCAATGAAAATCAGAGATAGCTGGAAAAAGACCCTTTTTCCCTTAAGCCTAGCTGTGAAGTGCAGTGGTTATAGTTGGCGAGGACATGAAGAACTGCAACATCACTTTCTGTGCTGGGTTTGTGTTTTAAGTGATTCAGCCTGAATGCATAAGTCACCGTGACGCAACTGATTTTCAAAGGCAGCTGAGTCATGCTCTTAGAAGTTCAGTATCCCAGGATGAAAAATGTGGGGACAAAAAGTAATTCCTAGGCAGTGAAGAGAAAAGCCAGGTAGCAACAAAGCATCCAGACTAATCAGAAGAAGACCAAAGAGAGGTGGATCCCCCAGGGCTGGAGACCTGGACTGCAATCCTGCCTTGTTGAGCCTAGCCTCATGAATATGTTTAAACCCATTCCTAGACTCTCCTGGAGCGGCTAGATCATATCTGCACATACCTGCTAATGTACATGTGTCTAAAAGTGACTCTTTCTGAAATTTGTGTGACTGGGGTGTTGGGGTAGGAGAGAAGTTTGTCCCCTGTGCTGTGGTGCCAAGGGGACAGCAAGGCTGACAGCTCTGGTTCGGAAGTTGTGGCCATCACAACAGCAGTGGGCTATTTGCAGTCACTGCAGAAGCTGGCTGGGAGATGCTTTTGGTAACAGGGCTAGTTTGTATCAGTGACATTTATAAAAAACCTCCATCGCAAAATGGATCTGTTGCACTGACCTTTGTGTAAACTCACAGTCCACATCTGGAACAGGCAGAGAATTTCTGATTAGCAGTCTTGTTACCAATGTCATGGCTTGGGGTCATCTCTATTGCACAAGATCACTTGTGCAATTTAAAATCAATTATGTTATTTAATCACAAAAAAAACAGCTCTCAAGTGGTTTGAATTAATGTGACTGAAGACGTCAGAGAGGCAGTCAGTGAAGGGTGTGAGTAGGTTTTTTTTAAAAGAGATTATTTCCTTTTTAAAAGAGATTATTTCCTTTATTTAAGTAAGTAGGATGTTATAAGAGGAGTAAAAACAGACATTCAAACAATAGATTGTTATGACTTCTTTAAAAATAAGGATGACCAAAAATGTTAGAGGCTTTTTAAGACATGCTTTTTCAAACATTGATGATATATTAGATACAGTGACTTTTTGTTTTGTGAAAAGAGGTCAAATCAGAGCCTGTAGTCATGCAAAGGAAGCATTTGTATAATGAATTTGTGGTAATGAACTCGGGTAGGCTAAAGCAGAAGTTACAGGCTGGAGAAAACTTTATTTATCCAAGTAATGGTACAATCAATCATAGTTGGAAATTATGCAGCCAGTATTGTGTGTGAGACAGCTTAAAAGAGTGGGAAGCCCCAGAAATTGGCTGGTTTTTTTTCTTCACTCTTAATAATCTTGCTTTACTGATGTCAGAGTCTATGTCTGCCTCCCTTTCACAGATTCCTGACTGAGCCCTGTGGTACCCAGTCATCTTCTGAATTGGATTCAGGACCCACAAATCTGTCAGTGAACCCTAAACTCCAAGATATTGATGTCTCTGAAGCAGTACAATTTTTCTCCTCCAGGCTGGGTTTCATATTTCATAATGAAATTTTCAAGGGATCCTTTGTGAAGACTAGCTCGTGCATATTGCTTAAGATGGGTGAGCAAACTGTGTTGTTTGTCCCTCAGTCCTCTCCTTGAGTATTGGCTTTGCCAGAAAGGTTTGCATGAAGCTGAAGCTCAAAATATTATTCCCAGGGCATGAAACTGTCAAGCAATTCCAGAGAAAGCCTCACCCACTGTGCTTCAAACTTTGAAAATGTCTCTGCTTGCCTGAAATGGCTTTTCTTAAGGTAGTCATGTGGCTTTGTTGATGTGAATATATTGCCTTTTGCCTTACAAGAATAGACTCTCTACCTGGGAACATTCATATAAGGCACAAAGGAGATAGAGACCTGCAGTATAAACCATGGATGGTATCAAGCAATATAATGAAAATTCATATTAATGTCATTGGATAAGTTTTTCTGTTGGCATATCATCCTTGCCTTTGTTGTCAGAATGGCTCTGGACTCTTGTTAGACCCCGTAGAATTTGAGCCAGTGAATTAACAGTATAAAATTGAGACAATTTGCTATACTATAGTCACAAGAATTTATTAGACCAGTTAATGAGTTTATCTAGCTAAAGTGAGACTTGACAGGAATTGGTAGCAATGAATAATCTCCCTTTCTTCCTAATCTGGAGCAAGCCAGTGCTTTGCACATCGTACATATATTGCACTCACAGCACTCTGGACACTGTGCCCAGAGACAGCTAAAATGGCTGTTTACATCCCATAGAAATCCCCAAATAGAGAAAAAAAAAAAGAAAAAAAAAAAGAATTCTGCCAAACTTTTCCCTGAAGTCCCATTCAGATTACTTTTTTCCTTTTTATGCCTTCCCTATTGCACTGCCCTCTCTGCTTCACATAGAAAACAACGGGGAAATAAAAGACAAAAAATAAGAGAAATGGCTGAATAAAGAAGAAAGAAAATTTGCCTTTGGAAATATAAAATGAAAAATTCCCAATAACAATTAAAATGTTTTTCACGATAAGAGTTTTTCCACAGTGAAGGCAAAGTTGTTCTGTTAAAAAAAAGACAAAAAATTGTGTCATTCAGATAGAGGTTTCCATGGCAGGCACACGTCCCACAGGCTATGTTTGGGAGAACTTGTGCTCCTGTCCCCATGCTGCCACTACACATTGGCCCTGTGCATGCTGCCAGCTCTCCCTGGGGGCTATTATGGGGGGCTCAAACCCTGTATGGAGGGACAGCAGGAAGCAGATGAGCATCCATGGCCTTGTTGTGACTGTCCTGCCTGGAAATTACTCAAAATGGCTTTGAAGCTACTTGAATGTCTCCTTTTTTGCATAATTTGTGGGAGGGTGGAGTGGGATCTGTTGGGTCTGCTCCTTTCCTCTCATGTCTCTGCATCCATGTGTTTGTTCAGTCTGATCTCTGCCCCCTGTTTTACGCCAAATATTTCTTTCTTTCTTCCTCTGAAGCCTCTCCCATGTGCAGTGAGGACCCAACAGCATCCACATTCAACCTCAGCATTTGCATGGGTTTGAGATAGAGCTGAATAAGTTTGCTAAAAAAAGAGGAAGTAGTAGACAGATGGGATGGATTCATCCCTTTCTTTACCTCCTGCCCTACCAGAGACGACGATGCGCCCCTGACTGTGAAGTCCTTTGTGAGCCTGTTATGAAACAGGGACAATAGGAAGTCATTGTGTTTAGATGAAGTTGTTTGGACACTGGGTTTGTGAGAAATGAGACAAGAAACTAGGCCCTCACTGTTTGCAGCAGCAGCCACACTAACAGAGAGGATCTGGTGTGCCCACTGGTGGGAAGGGACTCAGACCTTGACCATTCCCTCATGCTGCCATGCCATATTCCCACACTACCGTTTCCCCAAGCTTTGCCCTTGTGTATTGCTTATTCTAGAGCACAACAGGTGCAAAACCTCTCATTCTGCTTTGGTAATATTTTTTTCCCTCTGTGGGAACATATAGAAACAATCAAAAGAGGTGCTGGGTAGAAAAAATTTAAGCACTTTCTCTCTTTCCAGCAACTTCAGGGGTGCCCAATGTACTATGTGCACAGGGGCATTTAAAATATATTCTGGTCAGTGTATTGCTGTGCCTTCCTTAGAAAGCTGTGTGTACCCAAGGATTGTTAGCACTTGTATGTTTTGCTGTGCCACAAGACAGCAGCAGCAAAGGTATAAGTTAATCTTACCCACCTGCGGAGTGAAGTGTTACAGAAGTTCTGCATGGAAATATCTATGGCCCTGAAGTCCACCCTGATGCTAACTTCTGCTCTACTTTATTAAAATCAATGGCTGTCCAGGCACTGTAAGGCAAACAGTTCCTGGTGATGTGACATCAATTGCCAAAGGAAAGGAAATACCTAATGAGGTGGAAGGTACAGTGAGAAAAATCTAGCTTTCTATTTCATCCAGGCATCAGAGAACTCGAGCTGTGCGCCACCCTTAGTCAGCCATCCTCCTATTTACATGAGCTTATGGCCAAACCTGGCTGTCCCTTAATGCAGGTTTTAAACCATATTCTTCTCTCACTTCACCCCAGCAAGCATTTATAGCAGCATCACAAGACTTGACACTTGGCTGTATTAAACATCTGGTAAGAATTGTGTTAAAAATCACATTTAAAATCAGATCAAAGAAAAACCTCATAATGGTGGCCAAGGCTTTTGCCTAGTGAACCCACCTGAAGGACACAAAGTAGAAGGAGCTGCTGAAAGTACACCATGGTGAATGGACCCTGTGAGTCCTCACTGTACATGGTGTACTTTAAGTTACAGCAGCACTTCTAGTTTAGCATAAATTACAGCCTGTAGAGAGGGTGTGTAAGTGGTGACACAAGCAATTAATGATTAAAGATACTTTGCAACTTGTGAACAAGAGTTAAATTTAAGATTTACAGGTTGGTTTGGTGCTACCTTAACTCTATTCCTCCCGAAGCCAAAACAATGAGCTCTGTTTAGATCTTTAGGTAAGTTAAGGTGTGGGGAGGGAGCCACTGTCTTTTACTACATTAGCTCTAATAATGAGGAGAAAAACAGATCATTTTTCAGGCACACAAAGTCTACCTCTAAGATGGTGTGTTCTTCAAGCTGTCCCTCTGAAGTCAGTAGAAGTGTGCATTTTATGTAAAGTATATTTATGAATGTCTCTGAGACTGAAAATTTAGGCTACGTTAGGCAGGGAGTATGCATTTGCACAAGGCCAACACTGCTCTTAACTGGCTACTAGACACTATTACCGTACAAATAATAAATCTTGTAGTAAAATTGCAGTGAACAGCATCTGCCTGTGCTCATCTTGCACAACTTTCCCTCCAATCATTGGTCAGACCACTGACCAAGTCCAGTGGGGATCCAGCCCAGGGGAACTTACCTGGTTCTCTTTCAGAGTTATCTGTCCCTGTTCCTTGCAGCCAATGAATGTCCTGATGCACCTGTAAATCTTCTCATCATGTTGCACTCTTTGAACGAAGTTAGCAGGAAAAAATCCAGTTCTATCATCAATTTTCCCCTGTGGAGAAAACACATTGATAGAAGAAGATTGTTAACACTAGTAACTTTAATACAAGTTCAGTATTGAAAATAACATATTTTTCTCTTTGGAAAGAAAACAGATATAAAATAATTAGCACATACCTTCCACCAGTCTTCATTGGAGTCTTCCAGAAGAGTGATCATATCCCCTGGCCTGTAATTAGAAGAGGGATAGTAGTTAAGATGACTTCTAATTGTTATGCTGCATCAGCAATTCCACAGCAATTCCACAATTACCTTCTAACAGGAAGGTGCTCCTTTCTTGGTCATTTTATCTGAGCATTTGCTGCAGGTAGACTCAATGAGGCAGCAAGGTTTTCTTCAATCATACATGGTAATGTGGAAAGAAAGTCTCTATTGGGGCTAGACCTTTATTTTGAGACAACAACTGCAAACTGGAATTTTTGCTTCCTGTTTAATAAGAAACTGTTTAAAATACAGTCCCTATTTGTTACAGGCATTATCTTGTTACTTCAAGACATTTCACATTGTTGGGACACACCACTTTATCATCTGTGTTTTCAAGCTGTGATTGCAGAAGGAAGGCAGCAGGAAAATAGTTCTATTTAACTGACAAAGGCAATTAGTCAGCAGGGATATAATTCTGCCCAAGAATGTCTTTTTGATTTGAATGGGACATATTTACCTTTATAATGTGTGGTGCAAGGTTGTAATTGCTAAGTATCAGCATCCAGCTGACTAGTTCCAAAGCAGAGCTAGGAGAATAATTTGGCTGGAAATGCTAATAGCAAAATGTGCTAAGCTGATTTTGTGCAGGTAGTTGAACAGTTATTTGACCTCCTTCCCCCCATTGGTGGCACTTCATCAACGTTATTATGTAATTACAATAGCGCCGCGTTGTAGAAAGTAAGCGGCAGCCCATTTCCAAATGGATTAACCTCAGAAAGCTCTGTCTGCTTGATAACAGGCATTTCTTTGATCTTAATAAAATTAATGGTTGACCCCTAATTATTCAGCTTTCCTTGCATTCCCTGTTAGGTTCACTGTATTGTTGAGGTATCAGCACAAGAGCTTGCAAATGCATCTGGAGCATATAATGGATAATGGGTCCAATTTAATGGGCTTTTTCAGAGCACGCATAGAAGATGTGGACCTGTCCAGGATGCAGCTAGAGGTAGGGACAGTGGTGGGCTTCTTTGGTCCACTTTCCAAGTGGTTATCATTACTGCTGACAACTGGAGAAACAGGCATCTGGTCTTCTAACACTACTCAATCTGAACCAGAGTTTTCCAGCTTTCACAGAAAGGCGTTATCAATAGGGCAACAGGGTAAGATTTTCCTCAAGCCCTCCTCAGGAAGCTGTTCCAACGTGTTTGGAATAATTAAATGTTGCTGAGGTGAGAAAGGAGGCTAGAGAAAAAAGACAACTTAGTATCCTGGTGGTAAAAGATTTCTTCCATGGGAAAGGACATCCGAATACCTTATTCTAGTTAAAATTTGATATAAAACCCTTAAAGCGGTATTGAGGGAGCCCATCTTGCCATTTCAAAGTGAATAGGCTGTGACACCATTGGAACCCGTACACTGCAAGGAAGAACACTTTCAACAAGAAGGATTTGGAAAGCCCCATCCTCCAAATACCCTTCAGCCTGGTTATTAAAAAATAACTTAGAAAATATAAATTTATTTGGCTGTCAGAGAAAGACGGCAACTGAACCTAAAGTGTCTCCATGTCAGTGGTCTGAGCACTGAGATTTTTAGACGTAAGACCTGCAGATTTTGCTTATGATATTTTTTAGCACAGGACTAATATAGATGTCTCTAATCTCCTAAAAGCATTCAAAATAGAAGTCCCAGATGGACCTATGTTACTCTTGCTGCCTATACTTAGGCTGCTAATCCCTGAAAGGGGGCAACCTCCTTGGCGTTTACTACTGGTTGAAAACATTCTCAGGTCTCATCTTTTTCTTCTGTAAATCACAACCCTAGATAAGTTGTCTGCTCTACGTCAGTGCTCTAGATTTCAGTAGGTGGCAAGATAGGTGCTCATCAGCCCTAAAGTGGCCGGGCAACCACTGATGATCACTGTAGGTCCCTTCCAACTACTCTATTCTATTCTATTCTATTCATTGCAGTGTCCGAAATCTGGGGTTGCTTGTCTCTTATATTGTAATATAAGGCCATCTCTTAGAATAAGCATATTACTGCAATGTCCTACTTAACTTGGAAAACCTGACTGGCTGCTCCTGCTGTTGAGGAAGAAATCAAGGTTGTGTTAAGTACTAATTGCTGCTGAAATCAGGGCTGGCACCTCTCCACTGCAGTAATCTGCCACCCACTCAATACCCTCAGAGGTGAGCTGAGATCTCCAGAAATCTCCCCTAACTCTTCTTCCCAGCTCAGGTCCTTCCCCTGCTATTTCCCTTCATTATGTTAGGGCTGATCAGTGTCTGGCTGGTCCCTGACTTAAGTTCCCAGGACAGTGCTTGTCAGTCTTGACAACTGAACGCTGAACGCATCTCCAGCAACTCAAGTATGTTAAATGAAAATTCATGCAACTGAGCTGAATCCTGCCTGGCTCTGCAGTGACCAACAACATTACTAGCTATTTGGTATCCCTTATGAAACAGTGTTAACCCATGTATTACTGAATTTCTGGCCATGGGACAAACAATGCTGCTGTAGCTGAGCAACACTAGTCTAAAACCTGGCTGGTGCCTCTGGAAAAAGCCTGTTAGGCATGACAGTCCAGGTTGCAGACCACAAATTGCTTTTTCCCCTAATATGAGGGACAGGAAAATTTTGAAGAATGGTGTGTTTTCCAGATTGCTATGTCTTGATGAGGATGGTAGTCCACTGCAGGCTTGTCTAAGCGGTGTTCCTCTTCATGGAACAAAAGTGCTAGCTGGAATACACACCTAAAGGAGCAGGATGCAAAGTGGAATCCCTCAAGCAGAATAGCTGACAAGTTGCACTAAAGGTCACCACACCCTGGGGTTATTTCCTGAAGAGCTGACATTCCTAAAGTAATGATCAGGAAATGCCAGCAAAGCAGAATGATAGGGAAGCTTGTAATTTTTGCCTTACAACCCACTCATTAGTTCTAGAGCAATGGGAAGGCACAGCTGGGAACAGGAAAAAGGCTTTCAGTGAAGGAGATGCTAATGAGAGGGGCATTACTCTGGCAGTTCCCTAAATTCTGTGGCATGTGCATGATTATTTTGATATAGGGGATACCTTGAACAGAGCTGACACATTTTACTACAAGAGCTCTAGCAAGACCACGCAAAATGTGAGTAGCATGATTCAAACTAATTGCACTAAAAGAAAAGATGTCAAATGCCATGGGTCAAATCAATTAACAAATATTTTGGGGCTTTACCTCATCTCCAGGTCTTCATTTTCTTGTGGTACAAATTTGTACAAGGCAACATAGGTGTTCATTTGTAACATGCTTTTATAAAATGGTCCCTTTAAGAAAAAAGAGAAAGAGAAAATTTAAATATCTGTCCTGCATAGGAATTTGGTTCACTTTGTTAGAGAATGAGGAATGAGGCCTGATCTTCCAAGAAATGAGCCTGAATCATCTCATTGCTTTCACACCTTGGAGGACTATGGCCCAGATACATTACGAGCTACTAAGGCAGTAACTACCTTCATTTAGAAATAAGATTCTTTGAACCCCAATATCAAATTCCAGGCTTCCAAAGAACAAAAGCAGAAATCTGCACAAGTTGGTCTTTCTGGTGAGATCTTAAAAATGAGTCTGCCTTTTGCTCTGTGTTAATGTATGACTCTTATGAGCTCAGTAGTGTATTACTGGCATTGTATAAGATGTCTATTATACAGTACTCGTTACAGATGGACCTAAAGTTGTAGAGTGCACAGGTCCAAAACAGAGTGTGGGAAAATCACTTTCTTAAACAGAAAGCTGCTTGCACTGGACTTCCCACAGAGAAGACTGGCTACCCTCTCTCCTCACTTTCTCCACTGGTAATCTGAAGAAAAAAAGCACCTAAAACAAACCCCAAAGAATTTTCCAAATCAAACCTATGATTTTTACATTACTGCAGTTCTATTGCAATGACATGGCCTCCACACTGGATCTTTTGTGTTAGTATTATCAATTTGTAATAAACAGAATAACATAAAAGGGACCATAATGGGTAAACGAAAGAGCCATCCAGTCCTGTACATTGCTTCCAACGGTGGCCAGTGGCCAAGAAATGGTGTAAGAACATGACAGTCAGATATCGATGCTTCTCCAGAATAGTGCCCCAGCAGACCTACTCAAGGTCCTTAGCTATCCATAAAAACAAGACTTTTATATGACTTCCCATTCCCATTGCATTCTCACAAACTTTGTGCCCATACCGGGGAATGTGTACTTTTTGGTTCTTCTCCAAAGTGTTCTGTGCCATTTTCGGAGTATGTAAACACTGAAATAAAGCAAACACATGACATTTTAGGAGTAGTTTAAGACTCTTCATCTCAACAGGATGACCTTTATGTTGTTAAACTCTTCCCTTTCCCCTTTACTTTCTTTGATCACCTGTGCTCTCCTCTGAACCCTTCTACACCCCCAACAAAACCACCTATACCACTGGCACATGGCACAAAACAATCTCTGTCCTGAAGAATTTACAATCGTAACAAATAAACCATTTTGATTGGATGAATATACACAAGTACAGCACTGGGAATAGAACCTAGGTCCCCTAATTGCATTACTATTTAAAGTCCAGCGGCCTTTTCCTCACACTGAATGCTGTATTTTCATGTTTAGGATGAGCAATATTTCTGTTTAAAAGCACCTGCAAAACCCAATGACCATATATGAGCAATACTGAGGGAATTTTGTATCCAAGAGCCCTTCTTTCCCCTCTTCGATCCTCTCTCTTTAGATGTTTGATAGTCTTCTTTAATCCCTCCCTCCAGTAGTCCCTGCCTGGGGGGCACTGGATATGCTGCCTCTCTCTCTGATTTTATAGGAGGTACCTGAATTGCTTTCAAATCAGGATGGTTATCTGAGACACAGGCCTGTATGTGTGAAAATTTGCTTCCAAGTTACTAAATCAGAAACTCACAGAATTAGACAACGATCACAGCACCTAACATACCTGATATCTAATTAGTAGTTTACTGTAGTTTCTTCATGATGTGACTGATGCCTGTCCTCAGTTATCTCCCTAGAAAAACCACAGTGGCTTTATTACATGGGCTGAAATCGCCCTTCACATTTTAAGAATTGCCTGGCGTTTCTTGCTTCTGGATAGAACCACCAGCATGTTCTCCCACCATTTACCTCTGCAGGTGTTTTGAGCAGAAGGTGGATTTTGTGGTCTCTAATGATTTGGAAATCTCGAAAATGGTAATAAGTAGCAGGCCAATTGAGTGCATTTTCTTTTTGTTTCTCTGTGATACAGTTACATGTGTTCAGGAGAAAGAAGGTGCCAGGGGACACCAAACTGCTGAATTTCTTTCCCCCTCTGTTCTTTCACTTGCTCACCCTTTCTTTCATTAACACTTATCTCTGTGGCTATTCTACACTGTACATGGCAACTACACAAAGAGTCTTTGAAGATGTTTTATGAGTGAAATAGTAAGGTTCCTTGATACAGTACTTAGACATCGACAAAATGTAGTGTCCTTGTAACAGAGGAAAGAGAGCTAAAACGGCAGCCACAGTATGCACGAGAAAGATTTTGTACAAAGTGACATGCATCTACAAGCACACACAAGCACATGTTCTCTTGACAAAATGTAAGACAATATTGTTGTCATAAAGTCCCAATGTGTGAATGCAAAGACAGTATGTGAGCTGATACCTGCAGCGTTTAACCTGAAAATGCCCAAGTTGTGTCCATGTGGTCTGACTGCAGCTGACCTGGAGGCCTCACTGTGCTCCTCGCCAAGTCCTGTTGTAGAGGGACTCTGATCCTGCAAACTGTCACGAGCACCAGAGGGAAAACCTTAAAAATAAAACTAATTTCGTGTATCTTCTAGTATAGGGGTATACGTATATCTCACATCTGTATAAAGGGGTGTAAAATGCTGCTGTTACAATCTGGCAGTATTTAAGTCCTACTCAAATTACTATGCTTTGTTTTTTGTGTCCAGAGGAAAAGGAGTTAGGGAGGCAAATAGAGAAAGTTCTGGTGAATAATGAGGTGGGTAATCAGGAGCATTCTGGACTTGCAGAAATTTGTTCACCAGATGAAGTGGAAGTATTTTAGCATCATGTTTGGAGTAATTTCTGCTTGGTGACAGAAAATAAAGCGGAGTCACTAACATACAGCCTTGTCAGCTGTGGAGCTGACCCAGCAGGCTGGGAGGGAGATGGACTGTATCCTTGTATTTTCCAAGAAGTGCTCACCAAACCTGGGTTTGCAGGGACGACATCCCATATTTGACTCAGGGGGAAAGTGCTCAAATCCATGTTGATAACAGGCTCATACATGTCACTTAAAGTACATTTTGGCTTGCAGGACTTCTGTTACAGATGGCAATTCACAGCAGTGAAAGAGTATAACTGGCTTAGAGGAGGCTGAAGGGCTGGAAATTAGGTATGCCATCTTACAGTTGTAAACTAGGAAGCTTTGCTTCATAGTATGTATGCCAGGGCCTGAATCTTCCCTTGAAGTTGTTGTCATAAAAGTCTATAGGAGTGATTACGTGGCCACACATGTGCTGGGTCCCTTCATCCTTCTGCAGGCTGTGGCTTTTCTGCTGTTTCTCTTTAAGCAAAGAGTCTCAAGTGTACCTTTTCCTAAAATCTTATTTGCAGGAGACAGTTTTGTAATGAAAAAAAAATAAAAATAGAACTGGAATGGACCTGATTCATCAAGGCATTAATGTGGAACTGCCTGCTAAAGAGGCAGTGGACAACTGAGGAAAAAGGAATGGTGAATCACCCTGCAACAATATTTTGAATTTACTTTGTTAAATTTTTAATCTCTGTTTAGCTCATGGTCTCTGGATCTTACTAGGAGGCACTTGAATGTGAAGGCCATAGAGGTATGTAGTTCACGTCTGCACACAACAGAAATCCATCTATTTTCATATTTGTTTGCCCTAGCAGCAGCAGACAAAAAAAAAAAAAAAAAAAAAGAAGGGATTTTTACAGTCTGAAAAGGATTTTACCATTTCCATAGCTTGTGCAAACAGTGTGGGCAGTTTATTAAAAATCTACCAAGGGGAAATTTTTGGAGTGACTGATGCATAATTTATATTCTGAGCCTCTGAAGGATGGATTGTAAAAAAGCCAGTGCTGATCAAAGGAATCGTTAATGTGCCGCAGAAGTTATTTGGAGGTGTGACACATGCTGAGTTTTTAAACTAATCTCTTTGAGTAAGTTCCTTGAATGCCTGTCAGTGCATTCAGTGAATACAGATCTCAGAGAAAAAAGTTTCTCTGGGTTTCAGAAATGAAACTACTGATTGACAATGAAATAAAAAGTTACCCGAAAACTCAAACAGGGCCAAATTAATCTCAGGTGGGCAGGATTAAACAATGTGAAACAGACTGAATTCTTTATCTTTAACCAGGTCAGGTCAACTTGCACTCACAAGACAGAACACCCCCCCCCCCCCCAAATTGTCAGGAGAAAGCAGATAACATAGATGGGATGTTCACAAAATGAGACGGAGGAAATGGCTGAACACAGTGAGGAGAAGTGATAGGACCAGGAGGGAAGGAAAAGAATAAGGAGGTAGCATAAAATGGGAATGGACAGCTGAAGCTGGCATTTCACCTACATAAATTGCTAGCAGCATGTAAGGAGCACTGGGGTTGCTAGGAAGAAAGCTATGCTCACTGTGATTTATTTTTGTACTGTACTCTCATGTGAGATTCAGCAAAGCAGCCTTCAGGTTTAGGTGCTGCTTGAGAAGTTGCTCTGATGGTTTGGGCCTGAAGTTTTGCTTAGTGTTGCAAACCCCTTTGTACTTATTGCTTCCCTCACCATGACTGAGTTCAAGAACAGGGTCACAAACACCATCCCTCAGTGGCTGAGATTTCATTATTAAGCTCTCAGTTGGTATGATGGTCTTGAAATCCCATCATACCAATGCTGTAAAAACATTACTCTTGTGCTGCAAAGCAGATAAAGGAATTGGGCTATTAATATTACTGGGCATATACTATAGTTGTACTGAGAAGCTGCAATTATAATCAGGATTCTTTGTGTTGGATATTTTACAGACATATGGATATTATATGATTCATTTCCTGTCCCAAAGAGGTTATGGTATATAGAGACATGGAGACAAGTCAAATGTATGGAAAAGAAAGAATTATTTTTTTCCGCTTTGCCTGTGTGGAACTGAAGCATGTTCAGTGATTAGTCTACAGTCATGTTCCTGAAGCGTAAGAGATAGGGAACGGACCTGAACCTTGTCCAGTGTCGGGTCTGGACACAACAAATTAAGAAAACTGGTGGCTTGGATTTCATCTGAATGGCAAAAACCATTCCCCAAATTCTTGCACCAACTACCTGCCCCACTCACCTTCCACTTTGAAAACCAGAATGCTGCTAAAACATGGACATACCATAAACACCCATCTGAAATAGGTTGTACACAGGCCTATACATCTGAAGATGCTATCCTGGCCTGGCAGCACTCACCGCTGTTGCTGCGTTTCCTGCTTATGTCAAGGGTGCCTGCAGAGCTATCACCTTCCTCAGGAACTTCTGCCAGGTCAGCTGTCTGCAGGGACAGAAAGAGCAAATGAGATGGGATAAGCCAGAAAAAGTGACCGATGAGGTGAAAAAAGACCACACAAGAGCCTTTGGGGAATGCACTACTTGGGTGCTATCAGAGCAGAGCAAGTCAGGCTAATGGGATTGCAGAAAACACTGTATCTGGTGATGCATGACAAATATCTACTTCACAGGGAGCAATGAAAGCCCAGAAAGAACTCCAGACCAAGTTTACAGTCTGAAGTACAAAAGATTTCTTCAGTACAAAGTGAAGTGAAAGTTAAGGAACAAAGGATTGTGTTAAACAATGTGGTTCTCTGTATAAAATAGAAGGGACTTAGGGGAATTTGTACATCCTGCAGGTATACTAAATAGCTATCTACCAGGGAGACAACATTAATTGAAACTATTGACAATTTATTAACCCTGAATACATTATTCAGTATAATAACTGTAATGTAAAGGTGATTTTAATTCTGTTAATATGCTGTGAAAGAAAGAGCTGGAGTGTGATAGAGTTGGTGAAGTCAGACTTTAAATATCTGCCCTCACTTTCTTTTCAAACAGTCATCTGGCTGGTATGGTTAGGGAAAAATGAAACCCAAATGTTGTTGTTAGAATTACTATGATTTCTTATTTGTACCATATTAATGTCAATCATGATTAGGGACCCATTGTTCTAGGGTGCAGGAAAACATGGGATGACATAATCTCAAGCCTCAGAAGTAATCTCTGCATAAGGCACCAGATTCCTCGGTTGGGTAGTCAGCTTCTCCATGTATAGCCCAACAGGAACCAGGAGCTGCTCCAAACAACTCTCTCCAAATCTGACCTTACGGAACTTCAGTTTCTCAACTCTCCACACGTGACTTCTTTTGGGTAAAACATCTCTGATAACCATAAAAACCACAAACATTGAACTCGAGTCAGGTGCTCTCTCTAACCTGGAAAACTAAATCCTTATAGGCTCCTAAGCTTTGTTTATTTCTTGTTAACAGTATTTTAAGACACATGGAAGGATTTAACTTCATTATTCCATGACACTTTACAATTATACTGTACACATAGCTCTGTCCGTTGCCTGCATTACTGGAGGAAAAGCCAAATGAGGAACATTCTCTGCTTTTGTCCAGGGAGCACAAAATCTGAATTGCTTTATAGATTTTTATATTTTTTTTTCCTCTTACTAGTGTTGACAACAAAGCTTGTTTTAGAAAGTACTTTGACAATTTTACTTCCCCTGTCTAGTAATTTCCTAGCTACTTCTCCATCCAGGGATATTAATGAACAAAGAGGTTAAAAGTAGATTTATGCCACAGGTATCTTGTGGTTATCTTGTTTCCCTCATTATTTTAAGAGCCTTCTACTTTATTGCTCTGTTATGCCTTGTTTTTAGACTGAGCCTTTTGCAGCAGGTCATGCTTGTCTTGCTGCTTTCACAAATGGGTCACCCCTGGATGAGAAGGCACTGTAATAGCAGTGCTAACATGGAGTCAGTGTAGAGCATATCTAGGTATTTCTAGTTTCTGGGTGGAGAAGGGAAAGACTGGCTTTGTTGAAATAATAAGTCCCAGGTATTTTTCAGCTCATTGCTACAGCATGTTCCTTAGTCTTCATAGACTAGCTTCATAATTGCTGATTAGCTTCCTATTTTTTGGGTACTACTGCATAAGGGATGTGCAGTGACTGTCTTTTCAGAATATACCTCATCCAAGACCTCCTGAAGTAACCTCAGTTACCTTTAATGATTTTTCAGTCCAGAGCTGTATGACAAACAGTCTAATAGAAATGACAGATACAAAGCTGCTTTTGAGAAGATGCTATCCACTAATAACTAACAAGAACTGCAATCACATTTACATCACCTCAAGTGACTTTCTGTATAAATGTGGGTTGCAGAAGCACATTTTTGAAGGAAGCAGTAGGTAGTAAATCTGGAGCATATGGCCACTTTCTTTTATGGGAAATGCAGAATCCAGGCTGAAAAATCACAGTGGGTGTGTCCACACTGCTCAGTCGTGTTAAAAATACCTTGGCTAGGTCAGAGCAAGATGGTTATCTCTACTCTGTGCAGAGACACAAACTGCAGTCCTGGAAGCTTCATGGCTGTAGAAGCAAGGCAGGGCTCCTAGGCTAGTTGCCTTTGCTTTTAACTACCTTCAGCAGGAGCAGCTATGCTGCTCTGATCCAGAGCTAGCCCTTTGGGAGCTTGGACACCACTTGCGAGGTGAAGTAGCATCCCAGGTGTCACCACGTCCATGGTGTCCCTGGTTTGGTGACAGGGCAGAACCTTGAAGCGCTCCCCAGCTCCAGCTGTAAGCCTCATAGCTGCATTGCTGCTTCTGCTTTGAGAGGAGCAGAGCAGCACAGAAGTGAGGACCACTGGGGAAAGATCTTAGTCCCTGTGCATTATTAACGGCACACGTGCTGCTAGCTCACACACTCCTGTGCATTTTTACCTGGGCTCTAAGGGCTCTGTGTCACATCACTGGTCAGTGCCTGCTCCTGGGTCACACATCACAGTTGTAAAGCTCCATGGCCCCATCATTTGGATCAGGGTTGTGTCCACCCCTCATTTTTATCCTTGTCTCAATCCACAGGCTTGCACTGGCAGAAGTTATGGTTTCACTTGTCTGTTTATTCAGTTCTCTAACGTTTTCTGTTTTCCGTATGCTGACACGTGCTATGTGCTGTCTCAGCCTCAATACCCTGGAGAAATTCCCATAATGAACTTGCATTCCTCATTCTACACCCACCCCCCACCTAGTTATGATCAGCTCCCTAGGGCAAGCTGACACAGCATTCATGATTTCTGTGCTTGAGTTGCCATTCATAATTCAAAAGAATGCTTTATTGATTTAGAAAGCAACAATTACATTTGTAGAACTTCTGTTTCAAAGTAAATTAAATAATTGAAAGAAAGAACTGTAATCACAATGCGACAGGTGGTAGAGTCATTCTGGGTTTTAAAAAAGAATGGAAATTACCAAATTCCTTTTAAGGCACAAACAAGAGTGGATAGAGGACATATCCTTTAATAACTGCCTTGCAGATTTCACTTAGTTCTTGTTTAAATTTGTCTGTTTTCTTTACCATCTGACACAAATGGATGTCTGTTTAGAGGCCACCTATGCCACCTGAGGTTACAGTTCAGCCATATGAGTGAGCATACATTTAAGTGCCAGGGAAATGTTGTACCAAACATAAACAGATATTAGCATAAACAGATATTAGCACAACTTTAAATTAAACATGTAAGTATCTGCTTTGAGGCCTGGAGACCAAGTCTCATTATGTCTTTGTGCCTGGTGATTTTTACACTAAGGTGAGTGCAGAAGAGATTGTCAGATAACGTGGGTCTGATTTTTAGACATGACAATCAGCTTTAGCCTCCAGTGTACTCAGGTGAGTTTTTGTTTTTTTTTTTTTTGGTGGGAGTGGGGAGAATCTCTTTGAAAAAAAAGAGAGCCTCAAGCATAGGCTTAAGTGCCTGTTTATTGGAGGTGAAACATTCTTTCAACACCATGAATGAGCTCCTGATTTTATGGGTCCCAATACTGTTGAAATAACCATTTCTGTAAGGAAGAAATTGGTAATTATTACTGTTGAACTAGGTATGGATTTAGCAAAGGCAGGGCTAAGGGAACTATCGTTTCCCTTGTCCTCCTTCTCCAGCTCTTCTGCCATTGTCCTGAAGAACGTGACTTTTATGATAGGAGAGAGTGAATGACAAAGATTAACATGAAGGTGAAAATCTCCCTGTCTGGATACAAGCAGCTGAGCACACCTGCCTATATTTGGGGCTTGGAGAGAGGAGCCCAAATCTGTGACGTGTCCCTCCCGAGACTACCCTGGGCAGGGGTGGAGGTGCCAGTCCATCGCCTTGTTGCAGTAGCAGTGGCTTAATTTTGGCTGGGCTTGTACTGTGGAGCTTGTACTTTTAAATCTAGGCTCTGAAGACTCCAACCCATTGCTATCACTGGTATGAAGGGTAAACGTCCACCATCAACAACAGGCAGGATGCATCTACTCCAGCATGACAGTTTAAATATCTCTGTTCTGCTTTTACACAGATATGCAAAATCAAAAGAACATAATTTCCTTTTCCAATCCAATAAAAGAATATTATCCATTTAATTTGTGTTTTTCCCTTTTTCTCAAGAGTCATCTAAAAGATACTTAAAACCTGAGTTTGCAAAAATAATGTGTTTTCTGGTCTCATTTTGTAAGCTGAGAGTGAGATTATTTTTTTTTTTTACAGTTTGAAATACAAGTTTTGTGAACTCTGATACAAACTCCTATGAATGATTATCTATTGCTCCCTCAGAAAGAAAATGGAAGATAGATGTGGGATACTCACAGAGTTTCTGTTGGGAGAGTCAGACCCACTTCCAGAACTGCCCTTTTTGGTTTTCTGGGCTAAGGAGGTCCCAAAGCGGAGAGTTTCATACACAGGGTCAACCTTATTTCCACAGGCTGCAACAGAAGGAGCAAAACATGCATCAGTCCCTCGAAGGTATTTCTGGTCATGTTCCTGCTCCACTTGGAGAAACACCTGCCTCTACCAGCATGGTGGGGTGTACACTTAGACACAAGTTGAGAGACTATCCTGATAAAAAGTGTTTGATGAATTTAGTGGAACTGGCTTTTGCTAGCAATTTTCTGCTGCCTCTCTGCTTCCATAAAGATCATCCTCCCCTCATACAGGCTCTTTGGGTCCCTGACATTGCCTCGTCTTTCTTTATCTGCCATACTCCTTCTCTAATCACCACTGATGCTGCCTACACTGAGGTAAGGAAGACAGAGTACCAGGAGGCTTTAATCCATGTTTGCTGCCTGTTCCTATCACTGACCTTTTGGATTGCTCTCAACAGCAGATGCTTGAAGGAAAAAACCCTGCGTTGTGCCTGACCATCCTTGAGGTATGGGTGGGCCATCACCTTTATCCATCTACCCTCAGAGTGCTCCTACTTGACTAACGTGGATAAACAGGATGGCCTGGATCTTCCTTGAAAGGTACCGACAACCCCACTGTGGGGCTTTATGGCATCCGGACGCAGGTGTGAGTAAGTACCTGCCTGTTGGGAATGTGCTCCAGGTTGCTCAGATCAGTGTAGGGGTAGCCGGAAAGGCCACCACCCCCACTGACGTATGTCCATTCAATTCTCACTCGCACTCTCCCTCATAGCTGGCCCCAAAAGTCATCTCCCAAGGCAGAGAAATGGATGTCTTCAATTGGCATGAGCAAATTCAGTTCAAATCCTCTTCTACATACTGCATTATTAGACCTCAGCCTCCCTTGCAGTACAAGGTGGTAGGCACATAGATTACAGTACATTTGTAGCACTGTGTAGAAGAAGGGAAATTTTGGGCAAAGTACTGAGAAAAAACATGGGATTTTGAATTTTGATGAGAGCAAAGCACACCTCTTTTTTTTTAGCCAGAGTTTGTTCAAAACATTTCTATGACTTCTGACAAAAATGATGGATGTTTTTTAGAAAGAGAAACTTAGATGAAATCCATGTAATTAACTTTTTTTTTCCCCCCTAACTGCTGAAAACAACAATGTAAATGTCCTCAGACAAGTAATTTTAAACTGACTGCCTACTAGTAGTTGCTAAGAGGTTGTATGTATGGGGTTTTGAGTGAAACGCACAATAAACACACCCTCTCCTCTTCCAGCTTTGTATCTTTGAAGTGGTCCTTTCCTGAGATGGCAGAAGGACATCCAGTCACCGAAAGGAGCTGGAAGGCTGCTGAGGGTAAATACCACGGCTGGAAGTCTGCCGCTGCTGTTGCAGAGCACTGCCAAAGGGAGACTGAAGGGAAAAGCAATCAAAACCTACCAATAGGCATCACTTCTTTGATGCAGCCAAACTGTTCATGAATGAGTAGTGGTGAGCTGTAGTACCGTCGAAATCCCTTTGGCTGGAGGGAGAGAAAGCAAAAACAAGTGAAGTGCATTGCTGCCATGACTGATGTAGTAGAAATAACCTCAGCTCTTCGGCTAATGGCATAACAGTGTGGTGAGGCTGGAAATTTGCCTCCTGTTGTTGAGTCACTGTGGGGTTTAGAGATTAGGGATTTATTTGATTTTTCTCCTGGAAAAAAACAATTTCCCATATTTATGTGGAAGGAGGGGCTCATTTTCAGCTCCCCTTTTTCTTTTGTCTTTTACATAAAAGCAGCACTAATTAATTGCAGCAGAAGTGCTGAATCATTAGAGGTTCTGGGAAGTTTTCCTCTCCCTTTCTTCTTATGTAATGTAATGCTAAACACGCAACTACCCTTCCCCACCCTAACTCCAAATCCTCATGTTCCCATGTACGCACTTCCAAAATCCAAGGAATTTAGAGACTTTCTATAGGTTTTTCTAAGGTTTGCTGCTGACTGACTGCAGCTTCCACTGCTTTTTTGTCTTGTGAGGTCAGAAAACTCCCCAAGCCATCACCAGATGCCCCCTCAATGTCCATTTGTAGAGAAATGCACTATAACAACTCAAGCTATACCATTAAAGAATACCACAATATGGCCAATAATGGTGCCTTATACCACTCTAAAAACCATTCCTAGAAGGTTAAACACTTTCTGTTACCTCTCTATTTACCATCTCAGCTAGCAAGTATCTCAAAATGAAAGTGCTAACATTGAAGTCTTTGGAAACGCCCTTCAAGGTATTAAAGATTCACAAATGGTCTTTCAGATTTCTAATCTTTGCAGGCTGTGAGAACTTCCAGTCACAGTGAGAAGTGGAAAAGCCTCATGGAGATGCATATGTTTTCCATATCTTATGTTCCGTATACATCAAAAAATGATAGTTCAACAACTAGTTCTTTTGCTAATGAGCTGCAGTATAGATTGAGAAGGAATGAGGAGACTGATAAATTTGGATTCTTAGAGGAATAAATTCCAGATTCTCCAGCTTCGGTTTGCCCCAGACTAGATTCAGGCATAACATGAGCCCATAAAACTCCTGTGAATTTGCTGGATGACGCCCTGCTGTTAATTTGGACTCTACTTTTCTGCTTTTGTAAACTAGTGACCACAAGAGCTGAGGCTGGAATCAAGAAATGTGTGAAACAATTCACGTGATTTAATATTTGGCTTGTCCAGGGCTTGCAATGAGGTCATTCACCTTTCCAGAGACCACCTTCCTACACCCAAATGCTTCACACTAGGGCTACGATTATGGATTAAATGCACAAAGATTTGCCTCAATAGCTTTCACTGAATACTCTTGGAAAGATCTTTCCAGAGAAAGGTGAGATTTCCAGCCCTTTTGAAGTCAATGCTTGCATCTTTTCATTGTTTAACACACTGAAACTGTTTGGTTTTAGCTCATATTTGTCTCAGGTGCCTTCAGGTTGCAACAAATCTAAGAAAGTCTGAAACATGAATATACGTATTCAGTTTTCATATTGCAAGTGGTCATTTTTCCAAGTTCTTTTTCCAAAAGAAACCAAAAGAACCATATTCCCATAAAAGTCATCAAGTTGGGTTAGAATAGTCTCAAACACAGTGTCCTGCCTTTGCCAATAATGAGAATTTGCTGCTCAGAAGATGACCCAGGCACTAAGGAGCTGTGTCCATACAGGGACAAGTCTCCTCCCAGCCTCTCCTACTGAAAGATTGCTTCATATTCTGTAGTGTCTCACTGTGAAATAACCTTTGGTTTTCTTTTTAAGATGGATTATGTTTTTTCTTCAAGCCCTATGAGTGGAAAAAACAATAAAACATAATTTGAAGGATTTTTCATTTGTTAAACTCCATTGAAATATTTTGACTAATTTATAGCATTCCTTGAGAGACTTACACTACAGCAAGCACAGTTTAAATCAAGGGAATTAATTTTATTATTTAGCTAAATTTGGATTATGTAACTGTATTTTCACATCCACAAAGCAGACCAGATTTGTGCTTCATTTTTGTTCAGGTTTTTGTGTGGTGGCAGTAGCCCAAATTGATAATATGACCTGGCTTTACTTTTCCCGCCTCAGTAAAATGACCTGGTGTCAGTTTTGCTAATGCACCAGCTAAATGCCAGCCTGTGGGTCAGGCACACAAAGCAAGTGGCTCCAGCACAAGCTGGTGCCTCCCACTGCACTTGCAGCCCTGAGCTGCTCACTTACCAGCTTGCCCATGCAACGCTGTTGTCCAATACTGTCTGCACACTTGTGGTGGATGCTCATCTTACAAGCCTTACAGCGCAGGCCATGCTTAGCATTTGTCCCTGTGAAATGCACGGAAATGATTTAATTAGACAAAATCAATAGTTTCCATGCATTTAATGAATGACCTGAAAGAACTGATGGGGAGGTCGGTTGCAGCAGAGTAAATATTGACAGTGTTCTTCGCCTTGCCTACTTTTTTCGTATACATTTATACATGCACTTTCTTTACAGCCTCTCCATTTTAGGCATTTCTCCCTGAGGTTCTTTCCTAGGCTATTGCTGCCTTTAGATATATGTTGGATTATGCTCTGTTGTATGATAGTCTTATCAGTGATGTCTCTGCCTCATCAACATCAAGCAAAATCCCTTTGCTACTCTGAAAGGGCTTGGCATGGGAGCCGTGCATGGCTGAGGAAGCCACTGAAGGAACACCCAGGCTCTGGAGCTGCCCTGGGGAGGCAGGCCATCAGCGGAGGGCCAGGTTTTGCAAGTGAGAGATAGCTCCATGGGTGCGTGAGAGGGCAAAGCCAGCTCCCTTACCATTGCCCACCCATGCGCCAAGGGACTGCTGCTCTCACCTCCTTGAGCTGGTGCTCAGAGGGTGCAGAAAGGGCTCCTTGCACATCTCTGAGCGGGGCAGTGAGGATGCCATGGGTCTGACCTTGCTCTCCATCACTGGCAGTGGAAAAGTTCAGTGCTGCTGGTAGGGGAGCTCTGGGAGAAAATATGCCTTACAGAAGCGGACTTCTCCCATTTGGGCAACAGTAGTTCTGCATTATCTTCAGTGTGGACCTACTCTTAAATGACAGAGCCAAGCCTGTTTGCTTTGAGGCAGGAACAGCCACTCTTACTCATACACCCATAAGACTTCCTAAACTATGCAGAAGCAGTTAAGCTGCAGCAACTCTTTTATCCCCACAGGACTTTAAAAATGGAATGAGTAAACAACATGTCAGTTAATTATCATCTACTGTGAGAGTGAGTAAGAAACAAGGTAGTGAAAGACCACCCCAAAACTCTTGACATTTTAACCGGCTGTCATTAGTCAGACATTATAGGAATATTAGTCAGAAGAATCCTGCATCTGAAAGTACTCATGTAGCTCTTGGTTATTTGAGTACTCAACGCCATGTACATGCTGCTGACTTCATTCAGTGAAATGCTACGTCTGAAAAAAACACTTCAGGGAAGGGCTTATCAAGTCAGTGACAAAACACAAGCCTTGACAGGACCGCTTTCAGGGGACGAGGTCCCTGAAGTGGCCACTTTCAAGCCAGATAGAGGCAGGAGGAGCCAGGGGTGGTTGCAGTGAGCCAGGCTCAGACCTTTCACTTGTGCGCTTCCTGTAGGACAGGGAACCGACATCCTCCCTGCCTTCCTACTGAGACTGCTGGAGAGATGGGGAGTGAATAGGATTGAGTGTGGGGTGCACCCCGGGGACTCCCATGGAGTGGGGTCAGCGCCTGCTCCCTGCTTGTTGCCTGCCTACGTCCTCTCAGCTGAGCCGATGCACAGTGCCTCACTGCTCGGGTACGTGCAGACGTCTAGTCTCATTCCTGGGGTCTTCTTTCCTAGTAAACACAGGATTTACTAGAAGAACACATCCCTGGGTTTTTTTGGTTTTTTTTTTTTTCTGCATGGTTGCACTTGGATCACTGTGCTGTGAGGATTTTTTCAGTTATAGTTTCTTTTCAATAACACATGCTCAAACCAATATTGACTTCTGTGGCTTTGTGCTTTTATTGCTGATGATGAAATGCTAAATCACCCTTCCTAATGGTTAGCAACTGACACTGTGAGAAAACAGGAAGGAGGATGGAATGAAAAAAAGGAAAATGACATCATACTTTGCCTATGCAACATGTGTTTTCGAGTCAGTGCTTACACTGGGTCTAATTCTCCTCTCACGCTGGTCTGTACTGGCATAACTCTTACCTGCTTTACCAAGTTGCTCCTGAGATCCAGCTGAAAAGGTAGCTGGTCTCACAGTCCTTTCTGCTGGCTGTGTTACGCTCTTCCAGCCATTTTAGTGTTAACATTACAAGGTGGATATTGGTCCTTAACATGTTATGACCATGTGATCACAGAAGATACACAATTGTCAATACAACGGTGCATTCAAATGATGTGCAAAATGAATGCAAAGTATCTGTGCTACTTTCAAAAATCAAAACCCAGCTTCTTCAGAACAGAAGTCTGTGGTCATGTGAAAATGAATATGACAATAAATTACAAAACAGCAACACTATTTCTATTGCTGAATGCCATTTGTTACCTGTGTGTAGGTAAGTAGTGGCTTCAAGGAGAGGAAAAGTATTTCAGTCACACAGTTGAGTCTACAAGAAGTCTTTGTAAATCAAAATGAAATTCCCTATAACTACCAAAAGTTTCAATCTTTAATTCATTGTCATTTCTAACTACCTGGTTTACTGTGGGACTAGGCAGCTTGGAAATAATTTGTATGTATCTCCCTGCCTCTCACTCAGGAATAACTAAAGGGCTTAAAGAAGCAGCATTTATTCTGTATTTACACTTAACTACTGTATCTCAAGCTCTGAAAAAGGCATTTCTACAAGCCACGTTTTCTTTTTTCCCCAGGATTTCTTCTTCCTCAGTTTCTAATCTCCATCACACTAAATCAAACCTCCGCAGAGAATCATGGCTAAGCTATTTCAAAACTGTGTGCCAGAGATTAGACAACTACATATCAGCAACATATCTGACCCAAAAGCTCCCAAGATTCAGAACTGAGGCACAGCCACAGCTCACGTTATGGAGAATGGATCCACATTCAGTACAGGTGTAAATGAGACCAGGGTTTGACCCGCTGCATCAGTTTTTGGGCTCCCATGTAAGCAAGCCCGTTGACTTTACAGTTGCCTGAATAGGGCTGGTTTTGGAAGGCATCCTGGTAGTTTGAAATGGGGAAAAAGCAGGCAGAACATGGATCTTGCAAACAAGTTATGTAAAGCTGAGTGAGTATGGTCAGAGTCCTACAGTCATGCTGGTATAAGAGAGGTATTTCATTATGCCTAAAGTAGTGGCACAGGATATAGCAATGTGTTGAAACATTATTTGCCAATAAATTCCCCCAGAGAGCATAAGAAAGCTAGGAATTTGGTGTGAACATACATTAAATAGTAGAAAATAAGTGGTATTAATGACTAAAAGTAAAAAATGATGATGACAACAATAATAGCAATAACAGTAATAACACCACCACCACAATAGGACAGACTGTTTGAGGGGAATCAGTATCATTTCACTTATCTGCCATAGGGTACCAGGGCTTGTTTGAAGTTGAAAGCCTCTCTGGTATGCTTATTCTGACTGGGTTAATCTTCCTGTAGACTGAAGCATGGGAAGGGGAAGAGTAAGGAGATAGTTCATATTTGAGATGGCCACTGCAGTGTCTGGAGAGGGGAGTGTTCCTGCAGAAGCAGTGAGGTCTGGGATAATAAAACACTCTCCTCAGGGACTTCTGCCGAACATACTCTGATGACCTGCAAGCCTGACCATCACTGTCTTGTTTGCTTCCTGCCCCTCTAAATAGCTGTCAGCCTGATTGCAGCCTACCATTTATTCCCAGTAGCAGATATTCCCCTATGCCAACCTCAAAGCACAGCTGGAAACTACTGGTATAAAGTACTCTTAGCTCACCTGGAATCATTTCAATTTGTGGTGGATCAGAAATAGAGGAACTAAACGCTTAGCAACTAAGCTAAAGTTGGAGTACCCTATCTACTTTTTTCTCTGTTTTTTTGTTCAAAGGGGGAGTAGGCCAACAGCTTTGGTGGACTCTTTGTTACTACCTTCAAAAAGTAATCATCCCTCTCACGCTCTTCTCCAAAGACCCTTACTAAGGTTACTTACTTAATCTGTTAAATGCTGAGCATGCCAGAACAAAGGTTCTGCTCATTCACTTTTTGATTGCAATCTAGGGATGTGATTATCACTATTTTTATGCAAGGCATGCTACTTCATTCACTGAACAGGGAGGTCAGTGTTCAATGAATGGGCAGCCCTATTCAATACTTCTTTTTTACTTTCATTGGACAGTGTGTGTCCTTAAGCATCATCTCTTGAGTACCATAGTAGCCTAATTCCAAATACAAGGGGATTAATAGCCTCATGGACTTTACTATGGGCTCACTATCTTTGCCTCTTTATGCCCTGTGATATGAGTACGTTTGCCAAAACTTGGATGGGATGGCTCCCATTTGAGGGACTAATGGGTAAAACTGTCAGAGCTGTTACTAATACAGCACTGTTTGGCCCAGATGCTGGCATTTGAGTTGTAAAAATTGCAAGCTGCTAAAACTGGGTGTTTAGAATGGAAAGTATTGGACATGTTTAGCTGACTCGTAGTGTCCATAAACAAAACATAACTGTCAATGTATATGTCAAATTCATATAGGAAAAAACCACTCACACATACATTTGCACATTCGTCCTCTATGTCCTATGTACTAATGTATCTATTAATTATCTCACAGTCTGTAAAGGCTAGTATGCCTTTTGCAAATGAAAAGCCGAAACAGACAAAAGAATCAGTGTTTCACTGGAAGCAAATGAGGAAATTTCATGTCAGGTTACCTGAGTAGCTCTTAAATTTACAAATGAGGTTCTGCCACAGTCATTTTCTTCAGATACCAGCTAATGCATCCAGACACTCGGCACTGGAAGGACGCATTGTTTTGAGAAGCAGGTCATGTTTAATAACACCTTGCTAGAAATACTCTATGACTGGGTCAGCTCCCACTTGAATATCTAAACCAGTGGCTAGGTCTTCCAGAACAGCTACAGAAAATTAAATCTTAAACTGTTCTGATAATCTGACCTTAAATACTACCAAAAGGACACACTGCATCACTTTTGTAAATCTAAGCCTTTTTTGAAGGAAGCATAAATGGAAACAGAACTCCTCAGTATAGGTGTATGGAAAGATCTGGAGGCAGAGACAGAGGAGACAGGGCAGAATTTTATTCCAAGTCTTTATGTCTGTCTCTCCTACAAAAGTAATTTTGTAACTACTCTGCATTTCAGGAAAGTGACATTT